AGAACGTAGAACACTATCCATACCTTGAGAGCCATCTGTCAGTGAATGCAGCCATTGACGCTGAAATCCAACATCGCTTGAAGTGTGCTAGCGAGGCGTTCGGGCGACTTTTAGAAAGAATCTTCAACAATCATAACATCAGCGCTGAGATCAAACTTGGCGTCTACAATGCATTTGTAATACCAACACTTACATAATATGTCTGTGAAACATGGACCACCTACAGAACAGACATAAAAAGCCTAGAAAAATACCACCAGCAATGCCCAAAAAGGATCCTACAGATTAAATGGCAAGACTGACGAACGAACATTAGTGTTTTAGAGGATGCCAAAACAACTAGCATGGAAGCCCTCATCATTAAGTACCAACTCCACTGGACACTGGACAGGTCACTTAGTCCGCATGCCTGAAACACGTCTTCCACGACAGATTCTCTACAGTCAACTGAAAAAGGGAAAACGAAATCAAGGAGGTCCATCGATACCAGCAACTGGGATACGACGGTAGATGATAGACCCTCATGGCTTCGAGCAGCGTGCAGTCCACGACGAACCACAAACTTTTGAAGAACAGCAACGCAGACACGAGACCGAAAAGAGGGATCGCAGGAAGGAGCGAGAGAGCAGAGGAAGAGAGAATGCTGTCAGAGGCTGGATGTGCCAAGACTGTGGAACAGTATGCAGCTCCAGAATTGGTTTGTATAGCCATCAGAAAACACACAATCGACGGCAATAAGAATAGAATAAAAAATAATCATACTCGGTATCGAGTGATCGCCTATGATGATGATGGCGAGATTGATAAAGACTCAATATCTTTCTTCCTCATTTTATTATAAACCTATTTGAACATTTTTGTTTTCTTCAGTCATGGTTTTGTTGGAATTTTTGTCTAGTATAAACAATATTGCGAAATTCTCCCACAGAAAGGTAGGTGAGTTAGCTAACAACGCAACCGTGGAACGTAGAAAATCAATAATAATTAAATTGCAAATTTAATCAAACAATTTTAGCAAACTTATTTATAATTAACACAGCAGAAAACCACATAGTACTCCTAAGTACTTAATAAAAAAATTAATGTTAAATGTAGATACTATAATAAAATGCAAAATGTATGTTCAGAATAATTAATTGCTAATTACGCATAGGTACATATTATATAAAGTTTATAGTGCGTACATTAATTTTGAAAATATTTAATAGTTTTAATTTGTAGATTCGTTAAAATAAAAACTATTTTCTAATACTTTTGATATCGAACTAATTGTTTTCTAATATAAAGAAATATCTATGTGTATACAGTGGGATATGATATATCTATCGGAGGTAAGAAGAAAAGGATAATAAAAAATACAACCACCGACTCGTCCGGGAAAAAATAAAATACTTCAGAAGCTCCTCACCATCACCATATCCCATAAAAATATATTTTTTTCCACAAAACATAATATGGCCGTTGTTAATTTCAACTGCTATAACGTTAGCTCATTATTTGAGGTTTATCATCAAAAGAGTTCTGGATTCAAGGTCTCTTGCTAAAAAACATGAACCAATTTCGACCCTTGAAATATACTGCTTTTGTTAATAAAAATCGTTAATGTGTTAAAATAACATATTAAGCAACTATACTACAAAAATTTTAATTGAATATGCTTCCTACACGAAGCCTAATTAAAAAAATCAAATTATGGAAATATAAAATTGCGTAATATAACAATGCTGAATAAAAAAAGACAATGGCCCAATAAGTATATTAAAATCAGGTTTATGGTCATTAATATTGAAATGTAGAAACGGGGGAAAATAAGAAAAAGTAATTAAAAAATATTATTTACTGGTTCATAAAACTTATAGCAATTAATCTTTTAATAAAAGTAAATCAGATTTGAATATTTTATCATCAACATAACATAAGTTTTAGTCGAAAGAAAAATGGAAAAATTCGCTCTACAATTTTGCTAAAGTGAATTGAAAAAAAAAAAAAACCAAACAAAGAAAATATAAAATCGCAAAATCTAAAAATTTTATGTAATAAAAAGGCATTTAATTCATTTTGAAATGAGTACGAATTTAAAAACACCGTTATGATGACTTCAAAAAAACCGTAATAAAGTCAAAGATCTGGTAAATACATAGAAAATATCACAATCGAGATAAAAATAAAATTAAACTACCCGAATGAAAATAGTTTTAATACGAACTTACGGCGGACCTGAACAGCAAAACAGTTACTACAACCATCTGAACAAAAAAAAAAAAAAAAAAACAATATCACGAGCTACGGCGGGCATTTGGACATGCCGCACACTCGTGGGAAAAACATGCGGGATAAGACCAAAAATGGTACCTACATTGGATTTATCAAACGGTTCTCAGACCCATTATCACCTACGCCTTGTTGGTATAGTAGCCAAAGACTGAGCAATTTACTGCACAGAAGAGTCTACGTAAAGTATAAAGGCTAATCTGTCAAGGAATAACAGGGGCTATGTGAACCTGCCCCACCGCAGCCTTACAGGCACTGCTGAACATGCCACCTCTTCACCTATATATGAAAAAGGAGGCAAGAATATAGCTATAGGCTCTTCCAGACAAAAAGACAAACCTGGTGATCTGAATGGCCACTAACGCATCCTTCAATCTTTAAAGCTCGAGTACCAAAGTAAACCAACAGATGAATGATAACATCACTAGACTTTGACATTCCATATACCGTGGTTGAAAAAGAACGACAATCATGGAAGAACGCAAAGCTACCGCAAGCGTACAACGCATCATTGTCGAGCACAGATAGTTTGAAGCTTACGAAAGGAAAGGACTCGGTCTGCGAATACTTGGACCAAACTTCAAACTCTCCTTAGCAATGGGTAAAACGCCCACAATATTTCAAGCTGAGGTAGCGGCTCTGAATGCTCTAGGAGCCATCAAATGCAATTCTCAGCTATTTTGGGAGAGTAAAAATATCCTTAAGCAACTGGCTGGGAGGAACAAAGTAAACCTGATGTGGGTGCCAGGACATCAGGGTATAGAGTTCAACGAGGAGGCGGACCGTCTTGCCAGGCGAGACACCTTCTCAAGGCCCAGAGCCTTTTTGCGGACTAGTGAAAAGCCACGTCTCCGAAAAAATGAGCAGATGGGAAAAGGACCGGATGCTAGCTGATTGAAGATCCATTCCGGGCCTGAGAAGGAAAAAGGTTCATATCCATCTCAGCAAAGAAATCTAAACAACTTCTTGACGTGAACAGAAGAGACATTGTAGCAGTCGTTGGTGTGCTCACTGGGCATTGCCTGGTGAAATATCATCTAAAAAAAATAGGCAAATCAGACATCGACCACTGCAGATCTTACGACAAGCGACAAAAACTACAGAACATTTATCATGTGAATGTCCTGCTTACTTTTGTAAAAGGCTGAAATACCTTGAAGGGGTACGGCTAACAACACCCCAAGAGGTAGGCGCTTTACCACCCAGGAAGCTAGCCTTTTTTGGGAGAAGTCCACAAATATTGAACAACAACTAGAAGCAGAGTCACGCACAACATATCTAGAAAGTGCTTGAGCACTGGAACAAGCTGTAATGACTCCTAATGCAATCTACAAAATCTTCAACTTTCAAATGCCATAAGTAATTGAAAAGCCAATTTTATAGAAAGTCTTATTGAGCAGCATCATTTTTCACCAGTAAATATTATCTAAAGACTTTCACGTAAAAAAGATACTGATAGGACTGAAACTAAGCAAAACAAAACTTTTAGCAGAAATGTCTAAGAAAATTTAAATACAATAACTTCATGCAGCTAATTTCTCTGGAAGATTTGGTATTTATTGAACATGAAGATGCAGACACCGTTATTTTATTATCGCTATGGGTAATATCACAAGTAGGTATCATGGGAACTGAAATCTGAAAGCACATGCAGCTGTCCACTGACCATTAACCACTGAATTCAAACATTTTATAACGGTTGTCCATGGAAGTACCGAAAAATAGTCGCTTTTTATGTCTTCAATCGGAAATAGAAATGCTTCGGTACTGTACCGAATCTCTAACTCTTTTTCTTTTAGGTTTACAGAAAAAACTTTTTCACAAAAGTTGTTTCGTCTAAAACTAAAGTATTAAAGTTATATACATGGGATGGGTGAACAATACATATTATGTATCTACATATTATTATTAATTACGAATAGTTTTCGCAAACTGCACTCAAATTTGACCTTTCCCTTCTATTTTATAGAAAATACCTAGTCCTTTAATCAGACTACATAAAATGGTATACTTAAAGTATTGTCAATTTAAAAAAAAAAATATCCACAAAAAAAGTTTTACCTATATTCATTCAAAAGCGGAAAAGAATATCAACTATTTTTCAAACTTGTTATGAAATGTTAATTTAAAATGTTGCATTCCTATTAGTTTCAAATTATGGTAAATTTATAAATACATTCAAGTTTACCAAAAGATAAAACTTTGGGCTTTTAACTTCCAATGCAGTTTCATTGGGTGTGTCGTGTCTTTGGCTTATAATTAGTGAGAAAACTCATCTTGTGAGAAAAAATTGTTCCAGTCGGCAAACTTTTTTTTATAATTGAAATTTCTGTTGCAGCTATTGCACCTTTCTTAGCCAGTTATAAAAGACTTACTCATCGTGCTTTTTGTACAGAGTTTCATTGTGTTTTTATCAGGAAAAGGTAAGAGGATTCAAATTTTCGTCTCATTTAGCTGGTTTTTGATATGTGAATGGAAAAATTCATCAGGTACCTTTCGTTAAGCTTTATTTGAATTTAATTGTTATATCGATTAAGTCAAAAACAACCATACATTTTAATGGGAAAATAAACACAATAGAGAATTTTTTATTGATTTTTTGCCTTATAAAAGTTTGGCATCCACAAAAAAGAGTTTTGACACATGCCCTTATTTTTGAAATATTATGTCAACTAGTGTTGCTGGGAAAATATTATTCAAAAAAAAAAATATATATATAAATTACTTACCTAAAAATTTAAAAAAAAACAAAAAAAAAATAATTAAACAAAAAATTCCGTAGCAAATAGTCCGCATGAACCACCGAACAGTTTTTCACGCAAAGAAACAATAATTGCCAGGCGCGAGAGTGGTACCTTGCTCCGAACCCCCGGTGGTTGAAAGAACAAGTGAGCGTCGAGATTGTTGCTGGTTGCTGCCAATATAGACAACAAATGGTTAAGGTTGGCGCGCGACCATTAAACGTTGGTCAATTGAGCGCGTGTTGGTACCTGTGTCAATAATATATAATAATTTTCTATGACGTCACTATCGTAGTTTGGACTTTTTCACATTTTTATTTTTTTTTTCTTCAATAATATTAAACTTGAAAAGCGCCAATTATTCGGTACTTAAAATTAAAATCGAAAAACAGGAAAAAAGATCGAAAAGATTTAATGATATAAGTGAGACAAATAAACTTTTCGTCGAAAATTAGTTGAAAAAAACGGCAAATGGATTTTATAGCTGTGCTTCTACCGGAGAGCTATACTACAATAGAGGTACAGCATTTAAACGAAGTTGACGCAAGTAAAGCTTTTCTAAGTAACCTTCCATGTTATTTAATTTGATTTTTTTTTTCGATAAAATGCAGTTTGTGGTGAGTTTTTCGTGGCGCACCTTGTACAAATATTGCTTCAATTTAAATACACATTAGTTCCCACAATCGACTGATTCACTGTAATATAAAATTTGAACCTAAAAATCACTGAAAACCGAATTAAAAAAAAAAAAAAACTTTATAGGTAGGTACCTGTTAAATCGATTAGGTACTATAGATACTATTACATTGCAGTCGATAGCTCAAATCCAGGGTTAGGGCCATAAAGTGATTATAAAACCATTGTAAACCATATAGGGTTCACAATGACTTTGTTATATAATCGGATACTTGCACAATTTTGGATTATATTTTTTTTCGAATCCTGTGGGTAAAAAAAAATATCTTTTTTCGTTTCGTGTAAATTTCTCCAAATAGAGAAAATTCAATAGCTTGGAAGAGAAACAAAATCATTTCTTTCGACTTATCTACCAATTTTTTCTCTGATTTTCTCAATTTTGTCAGCTCAATTTATGTCTATTCCCGGCTCTTGAAATTGTCGAAGAAAAAAAATATAAAGAGCCTGGAATACAAAAATATCAACTTTCGCTTATCCATCAATATTTTCTTATATTTCTTCTGTTTTTTTCTGAATTTTTATCTATCTCTTGAGTTCTTGTTTTCTTGTGAATTTGTCTAAATGAAAAAAATTTGAAGAACTTGGAATAGAAATAAAATATTTTGTTCCTACTTGTGTAGAAATTTGAAGAACTTGTGAATAGAAACAAAATATCTACTTTGTGTCTACTTATCTACCAATTTTTTCCATCTATTTCTCAATTTTTGTATATTCCTGGCTCTTGCATTTAATTCTGTGAAGCACAATGGAAAAACATAGCTCATTACAAAATTATGTATATTTAATATTTTTCCTAATTTAACGAATATTTAGTAAAAAAGTTTTTTTCCGGGCTATAATGCCGTGGTCGAGTTATATTTCTACCTAACGTTTCGTCTACTGCTGCAGTAGACCCCTTCAGAGGCGGTGTGGTAGAGGACGAAGTGTTCTCTTCCGTGTTCCTCCGATGAATAGATTCGACGTTGTTGGACCTGCGTTATCTATATCCAGGATTGTGGGCGTGGCTTGTATTACGCTATTGTCCTTGTCTCGTTCGTGGAAAGGAAAGGTCTTTGTTTTTCGGAGAACTGGCAACCAGCTTTTGTTAAGGTTCATGCCCTCTTCTTTTCTGTTGAAGGTGCTGTTGTGTTTCTGTATCTCTATGGCTTCTCTGTGGAGCCTGGTGTAGAAATGTTTGCTCCTATCCAATGCTTGAGTCTGATGATGATATGGTTTGTTTGTGTTAACACGTGTTCGCCGATTGCTGATCTATCTATTTGTTCCTGCTGACAGTTTCTTTTGTGCTCTCTGACCCTGGTGTTGATAGAGCGTTTGGTTGTTCCTACATGGACAGATCCACAAGAGCCGGGAATTCTATTGATGCCAGCCGTTTCAAGAGGTGCCCTAGGATCCTTGGCCGATCTTAGACTTTGCTGAATTGTTCTTGTGGGCTTGTAGATGGGCTTAATGTTTTGTTTTTCTAGCGTTCGTCCTATGCAATCTGTGACATTTTTGATGTAGCGAAGAAAGGCTCTCCCTGCCACCTGTGCTGGTTCCTTTGTGCGCTGTTGCTTCGGTCTTATAGCTCTATTTTTCTCCTGCTTGGAGTACTCATTTCCTTCAAGTGCTGATTTTAGGTGTTGCATCTCGTCCTGAAGGTATCTGGGTTCACAAATCCGGATTGCCCTGTGAAATAGAGTTTTAATGACTTTCTCTTTTGCCTAGGATCGTGATTGGATTCCTTGTTGAGGAGGTATCTGTCCGTATTATTTGGCTTCCTATATATACTCTGTGTCCCAGTTTCCCTGAGGGTAATCTTTCTAAGAGGACATCGAGGAATGCAATTTTGTTGTCCTCCTCAACTTCCATCGTAAGCTGTATCCTGGGTTCTATTGAATTTGGATGATTGGGAAAGTTTTCGAGCTCTGCCTATCCATGGTTCCAAACAACAAAAGTGTCATCAACATAGCGAAACCAACAAGTAGGCCTCTTTGTGGCCGTTCGCAATGCCATTTTTTCAAAGTGTTCCATGTAGAAGATGGCGATAACTGGGCTGAGTGGACTCCCCATTGCGTTTCCGGTAAATAAGTTTGAGTCCTTGAAACCATTGAACACTGCAAAACCCACAGGCAATGATCGCACAGTTGTCAACCTGACTCGAGGCGTTCTAACTGATTCGGAAACTAGTGCTCTAAGAAAAAGAGGCAATTTTGCAATAGCACCGAAAGTCCATTCGAAGACCTCAAAGCAAATGTGGAAGCCAGCATACCCACATTACCTCAAACTACTGCGGAGGAACTACGCAATGAAACCTCTAGGATTCTACGACTAGCGAAACCTCCAAAGTGCAATCTGACATACGAGGAAAGAAAAGCTATTCGCAACAAGAATACAGACAAGAACATACTACTCCTGCCTGCGGATAAAGGAAACGCAACGGTAATCATGAACGTGACTGACTATGAATCAAAAATTTCCGAACTCCTAGACCCCTCCACCTACAGAAAGCTCAAGCGCAATCCCACTGCTTCTATATTGCGAAAAACCACTCAACTCATCCGAGCGCTACCGTTGGACCATACAGCATAGCCAAATACCTCACCACTCTACTTCAGCCTCGGATTACGGATTGGCCAATCCAGCTCTTATGTTAAAGACTCCACTCATTTTATCAAAAAGATCAGTGACATCACTTTACTACCAAACGACATTCTGGTTAGTTTTGATGTCGTCTCGTTGTTTAGCAAGGTACCAGGGAATCAGGCCTTAGAGTATCTGAAAGATGTTTTTCCGGAGAAAATCAACAACTTATTTCACCACTGTCTGACGACTACGTACTTCCAATGGCAAAATGAATTTTTTGAGCAGACAGATGGACTCGCAATGGGATGTCCACTCAGCCCGGTTATCGCCAACTTCTACATGGAACACTTTGAACAAATAACACTGCGAGCGGCCACAAAGAAACCTACTTGTTGGTTTCGCTATGTAGATGACACTTTTGTTGTTTGGAACCATGGACAGGCAGAGCTCAAAAACTTCCTCAATCATCTAAACTCAATAGAACCCAGGATACAGTTTACAATGAAAGTTGAGAAGGACAACATAATTACATTCCTCGATGTCCTCTTAGAAAGATTACCCTCAGGGAAACTGGGACACAGATTATATAGGAAGCCGACGCATACAGACAGATACCTCAACAAGGCATCCAATCACCATCCTAGGCAAAAGAGGGGAGATATTAAAACTCTATCTGACAGGGCAATCTGGATTTGTGAACCCAGATACCTTCAGGACGAGATGCAACACCTAGAATCAGCACTTGAAGGAAATGGGTACGCCAAACAGGACATAAATAGAGCTATAAGACCGAAGCAACAGCGCACAAATGTCACAGATCGCATAGGACGAACACTAGAAGAACACAATATTAAGCCCATCTACAAGCCCACAAGAACAATTCAGCAAAGTCTAAGATTGGCCAAGGATTCTAGGGCACCTCTTGAAACGGCTGGCGTCTATAGAATTTCCTGCTCTTGTGGATCTGTCTATGTAGAAACAACCAAACGTTCTATCAACACCAGGGTCAAAGAGCACAAAAGAAACTGTCAGCAGGGACAAATAGATAGATCAGCAATCGCCGAACACGTGTTAACACAAACAAACCATATCATCATCAGACTCAAGCATTGGATAGGAGCAAACATTTCTACACCAGGCTCCACAGAGAAGCCATAGAGATACAGAAACACCACAACAATTTTAACAGAAAAGAAGAGGGCATGAACCTTAACAAAAGCTGGTTGCTAGTTCTCCGAAAAACAAAGACCCTTCCTTTCCGAGAACGAGACGAGGAACATAGCGTAATACAGGCCAAGCACACAAATCTGGATATAAAAACCGCAGGTCCAACAACGTCGAATCCAGTCATCGGAGGAAAAAGGAAGAGAACACTTCTTCCTCTACCACACCGCACACCGCCTCTGAAGATTTTACATTCTACCGCAGAGGTAGACGAGACGTTAGGTAGAAATATTACTCGACCACGGTATTATAGCCCGGAAAAAACTTTTTTACTAGCTTTGACCGACCGTGAAATCCTTCATTATTTATTTAACGAATATCGTAACTCCAACCATTCCCCAGATCCTGATGCTATCCCATTCTTATCTTGGACACACATAGGGACAGCATTGCTATCTCGGGAACGGTTAAAGCTACGAGGGCGTTGTATACTATTTAAATTAGTCATGTAAAGTTTGTTTCGCCAGGGTTTGTACTTGCCACCAGCATTTGCCTTCCTTGTTTAACAAATAAAAATTGACTGAAACAAATCAATGACGTCAAAAACGTTCGTCGGTTCTTGAATCAGAAGTCATTCATTTTAATTTGTCATAAAAATTGACTGTCATATAACGACAACCCTTTCAAGTTTCAAGGTCAAGTATTAACCCTGGTGAAACGAACCTTATGTATGTATGGCCTCATATTTGAGCCTTTTAGATAGGTACTCTTTCTCGCGGAAATATGAAGTATATTCTTGA